GGAGACTAGGTCACATAGGCTCCCTGGCTGGGGACCTAGGGACGATCATAACCGATGATTAGAGACATGGAGTGACATGGCCGGGTGTCGTTAACAGTAGCGTTCGTGCATCTTATCAATTTCTTTGCAGCCTAAGACCATTGAAATTCTCCATTTTCTCTTTGACTCCATTTTCAACTTTCCTTTATTCTCCTATTCTTCATCCAAATGGGCAGTCAAAAGACAGCAACCAAAACCGGTGCACGAGTATGCGTGGTTAATGGTTGTACAAACTGAACTGAACTATCGGTGGCTCCACGAAGCTGGGGTTCGCAACAGCGACCACACCCCATCAGATCGCTGGACAGGTAGCCCAAGCCGGGTTGAGAGTAACCGACGTACGACACCCTTGTCGGGACGGCAAAGAGAAGACGAAGGCAGCCACTCCTGAATGGGTGGAGGAGATCTGCTACCTGATCCAACGGCCCTGAAGGAAGCCTGTCCAACTGACGGAACCATCGACCCCTGGGTTGCAATTACATGTATCGAACGGCGAATGAGCACCAACGGAGTCACCCATTCGGCCACCAAGCAGCTGATCAACCCGCTTTTCATTTTTCTTATACATGATATGGCATAGTCGTTCTTCGCAAGCTTATTACCGGCATCGCAAGTTGAGCATCTCAACACTAGGCTCCAGGGTTATGACTCGGCTGAAAACCTTCATAACACTCTCACATATTGTATGTGATGAGCGAAATGCAATCTTCGCAACAAACTGCCAAAGAAGGTCAGTTATCTACCCTCACAGATGAGAAGACTTGTAGGTGGAATTGAACGATCAGTCTATCAAAGATATGCTTTTGTTGTGAATGCAAGAGTCGAATTTGGAGTTATTAGAAACGCAAATCAAAGAAAGAATAAGAGGCTCTTGTACCATAAGGAATAAAAAAAGAAATTGAAATGCGCATTCAATTGAAGAGGAATGCTTACTTACCTGAATCTTGTTGAAATACTTGGCAGCTTCAGGTGGGAGTACACTATACGTGGCAATACCCGTAACAGGTACCTCTGTGGCGTTTTCCGCGGTGTAGAAGGCCAAAGCGGTTTCACCTGGGACAACGGTGAGCTGGATGAGCGAAACAGAGAGCAAGTGATTGTGTGTTACACAAATTCACATGTTTCTAGTAATCAAAAATTGTGCAGTATCTTTCTCTGTGTTAGTATTTTCCCTTAGTTACATTCATTGAATTACATTGTTATATTATAACTATTGTTATATTATTTTATTATATTCGACATATATTTCCAAATTAACCGAACACAGTGCATGGAGTGTATTGAACGGAAGTTTTCACTGGGTTTCTAATAACAGCTTTTTGTCTGTGATGGGGTTCCAGGGCTAAATTTTTATTCAAAAGCGAATTCGAACCAAAAGTATTTTCTCATCATCCTGACTAAAGCTTCGAGTACCCTCGTAGAATAATTTGCTTGCGAAAGTTTGAAACCGGACCATTTTCGGTAAACACACGAGTTTTCCTGCGAAATGACAGTCCCTATACCAGTACGCTTTTTCTTCAGGGATGAAGTAAGTTCTAGTGGTAAGGCAAAAAGCTGGTGGCAATGACCTCACTTGGCACTAATGTCGATCCTAATCAACTAGGAAAGCACATCAATGATCATAGAATCTGTGGAAAATTTTAAACGCACTTCATTTTGAAGGGGTTTGAAGTTCCACTTCAGTGTCGAATGAGTGTCGGCCGAAAAGTAGACTGTGATCTTCCGGTCCTTTACCGGAATCATATTCCGAATTAGCACCGACTTGGCCCTTGCCAAATCGGAATTCGTGCCCGATCCCGTTTGCTTTTAAATCGAAAAGAAACAGAAGAAACTGGTGTCAAATGAAAGTGCGCGTGCTTCATCTTGCTATACCCGGTTCAATAAATTTTTGGATATTGGTACCCAACCAGAGGACTACTTAACGAGTGCAGTTGATAGTTTGCATTTTATGTTTGCCATACAGAACGTATACGAGAGTAACAACAGCAACAACTGGTCCTGGAGAACACACTGAAGGCCTAATGTGTTAGAAAGAGAACTATTTGAATCAACTCCACGAACAGCTTACCATACGATGTACCGCGAGTATAACAAGGACAAGTCATGAAATTTCCCAGAGAACAGGTTTACGTTGACAGAAGCGATTCTTTGAGAGATGCGTATTTTCAACCTAAGTATCACTGAGATCAAGACAAAAATACCAGTAGTGGATGGAACTCAGAAATTGAAAATAGTATGACACAAATTGTCTTACACGACTACAAGAGGACAGTACCAACGACGGTGACGAATTCAGTAGTATTCTATTGAATATTCAATTTTAAGCGCCGGTTACATGTTACACACGAAACTTTATTAGTCGCATACATCACTAGTACGACTTCTTCGTTGTGCAACACTCGATCAGTTTATTGGTTTTTGAAAGATACGTAAAAGCTACCATGAATATGACCAGAGTAACTAGCATGTAAAAGGCTTTTTTCGTTATCAGTCTTTTTGTCTGAATCATTCTGTAGACAGCTTCGTTGTCGCCCGGGTTAATACCACGCCTAACCTAGCAGGACCTTATGTGGTTCGCCACTCCAAGTCCCAGGGCTTGGGTTACCGGTTTCCATCAGCGAGCAACAGGTCTACACGACTACGGGGTTCACCCCATTCAGTTTTCAGCACAAAAGTATGTGTAGCAAAAAAAACTATTGCCTCTATTTCTTTTGCGGCTGTATCACTTTAGTACATTGATTGGTGACATCCATTTGTCGGTGCTTAACTTTTGCTCAGTCCGAGTTTGCTGAAATGTTTCTAAACAAATTTAAGCTTATTTGAGTTAGATATGTCGAGTGTTTTTTTTATTACACACTCTTGTATGAAGAAGAGTAGACGGGGTAAACCATATAGTTACAAGGACCTGCTGTTCACTCAAGGAAACCTGGGACTTGAATTTGCGAACGATATAAGGCCACGCTAGGTTAGGCGTGGTACCGAGTCGGACGACAGCGAAGCTGCCTACCATTAAAGTTGAGTGGCAGTGGCGGAGCCCTAACCTCGGACCACAGCATACTGATAAGAGCAACTTGAACGGCTTGATCATAAATTCTCTATTTAACTTGATTAGCACCAAACAGTACTTCATGAGGACCGTTAATTGGTCCTATCGGTTTTCTTAGAAGCAAATGAAACCAACAAATCGTCATTTGCTATTTGTCTAACTATGCATGCGACGGTATGAATATCTCTAGGGTAGTCAAAACCAGTGCTGAACGACTCGATTAATTTCCCGACAGGCTATCAGGTAGGGAACATCCATTGGCCATAGTAACCGATGAAACCAAGGGACCACTACCATTTCAAATAAGAATAGACGAATGTATATCTTGTGTGCTGTTTTAAATCCAATTTGTATCCAAACAACACAGTAAAACTTACAGAACAATACATCCGATAGAGCGGAACACCAGCATATCCAATACCTAACATACAGACCCCAAACGAAAGCGAATAGTACAAAAAAGTACGCTCGTTGTAAGATCTCCTCTCAGCATGTCCCATAAAGCTGCGTGGAAATGTCGGCGATAGACCCGTCACAGTCTGTCCCAGCAGACGAGATAAATGGCTGAAATTCATCGATTTGGTAGTAACTGGAACAGATGAAACAAAGCAAGAAAGAATCAGCTAGCGAAACAAGTCGCCACGCCGAGGGTCACTGAAGTTTTAAATGGTGCAACTTCCAAGTCGGCAATTAATTGAAGAACCGGTTTTATCATGCAAGGTTGTGCGATTGATGATAGAATGGGTCAAAACTGAAGAAAAGAAAACTCATTCATCAGTAATGGAAAACGAAAAACTAATCTTTAAGAAAAAGGGGGACAAAC